AAAGGCGGTGTGGTTCACAGAGCAGGGAGCTGCGGGGCGGTTTCCCGGGGCGAAGGGCCGGGTCTCTTCCCTGGTGTGTGGTGATAAGGGGGGGTTAAAGCGCCGTAGGTATGAGGGGCTGCTGGAGAGTGAGGAAATGGTGCTCGCCTTCTTCAGGTAAATGCTGGGGAAGAAAAGAAGGGAGACTGCGGAAAGAAGAAGATGAAAGAGGGGGCCGGCGATGGAGGGCGGACGGAGGTGAGCTGCCCTTGGGCCACTAAGGGGGGGAGGTTGAAAGGTGCAGTCTCCGGTTGCTGTCTTGTGCGCTGCTGGCATTGCTGCAGTTCATCCCTGTCAAGATTTTATCTGGTGTTACAGTTACTCCTTTTCTCAGTTTACCGTGCAGCGACTTGGTTGCTTTCTACACCAAGTTGTGTTGGTGCAGCGGGAGAACAGCTGAGATTTCAATAGTTGCTTTGCACTGGGTGGTAAGCAGCGGGTCTCTGGAATGAGGAAAGCCAGTGTAAGGCACTCTGTCTTTTCTGTCTTGATCGTGGGTAAACACAGATCCCTCCTACTGCACAGAGAGGGACAGCTGCTCGCCAGCACTAATCCTGAGCCAAGTGCACAGCTGTACAACCTTGGTTGTGCCCAGGCTGATAGACGTGATGTAATTTGGTGTTACGCAGGCTGGAGCTGGTTCCTGTCCAGGTGGCTCAGAGTAGAGGCTTCCCTCTGTTTTTTAACTTAATATGAAAAATCTGTTTTTATGTTGAACTTAAGTAGTCTTTTCAGATTGTCCTTGCATAGCTTATTAAACAGGTGTTCAGTAAGCTATGTAGTAGGTTACTAATAGATGTGTGCTTTAGTTAACACATGTACAGTTGTACATTTCAAAGAAGTAATTTTCATTAAGCTGAAGTCTTATTAATAGATAATTAATACTATATAATTAATCTAACAATAATGATTGTTAGATATAGTCCATCTATAGATAAGGTCACAGCTGCGTGTGAAAAATGTATCCATTCTAATTTCATTCTTGACATAATGTGATATTAGATTACTATAATAACCTATTGTTTTTTTCCTTTGTTTTTATTTATTATATATAGCTGAATCCCTGGCCTGCGTTTATCAATGAGCGTTTAGAGATGTACAATAAACTTAAGGCTGAACATGATGCGCTCCTTGCAGAAAGAGCTGCAAATGACAGTAAACCTATTAAAGTTACATTACCTGATGGCAAGCAACTTGATGCTGAATCTTGGAAGACTACACCTTATCAAATCGCTTGTGGAATTAGGTATGGTGCTATTTTGTGATAGGCTCAATCATTTTCAGACAGCTCTGTGTCTGCGTGTAGTAGCTGAGGGGGTATATGTAATATATAGTTTCTCTCTTAGTCATTTATCTCAAGTCCTCTCAAGGCATCTTGAGAGGTAACCAATAGGCTTTTATTTTTGGAATGTAATTTTTTTTGCCTTCTGAAGATGCAGTTTCTAAAGTTACATAAGAATATAATTGGGATTTTTAGACACACATTACTTGCATATTTTCCCCCGCAAGTACTGTCATAGAATCATAGAATGCTTATGGTTGGAAAGGACCTTAAGATCATCCAGTTCTAACTCCCTGCCATGGGCAGGGACACCTCGCACTAGACCATGTTGCCCAAGCCCTGTCCAGCCTGGCGTTGAACACTGCAAGGGATGGGGCATTTACCACATTTTTGGACAACCTGTTCCAGTGCCTCACCACCCTCACAGCGAAGAACTAATCTGCTGCTAAATTTCCTAGCACATACAAACCAGTTCTCATCAAAATAGGGAAGATGACTGCTGGGTGATGTTTCAGTTCATTTCAGTGGGAGTTAACAGTATGAGTATTTTTCACTTTATCTCATTTTTTTTTGCATGGGGGATACCCATCAAAAAGAGCATTGCATATCTCCATGTTACTCAGACTGCCGTGGAGTGTATTTGGACAATGGACAATGACAGTTAAAATTACAAAAATTGGGTGATTCCTAGAGATGAAGTGCCTTTTTTTTTTTTTTTTTTTTTCGTGGTTAGGTGCCTTGTCATTGAAACCTTCTTTGCTTTTGTGTTTTGGGATCAAGGAAAGGGTTTTTTGCGTAGTAGAAACAAAACTATAAAAGTTACAACATCAGGAATGGTATTTGATAATCTTTAGAAGAGAAGCTCTGTCTTTTATCGCAGTAGGATTTTGAAGTTGGATTAGTACTTTGATGTGGCTGCCTCTGAGTCAGATATGTTAATGAATGTATTAATGTCAAGTTTCTTCCCTCATCTCTGAGATACGAGTAGGATTTTCATTAATGTTAAAGACATGCTAAACTGCTCTTTTATTTGGATTTTCTGTATGACACTGTATCTACTCTGAGCACTCCTGTAAACCTTACTCAAAATGGAGGGCGAATTTGGGGAACTTCTACTTGCTGATTTCAAAATATGACATACTGTGTATTTATTCTGTAGTCAAGGTTTAGCTGACAACACTGTTATTGCTAAAGTGAACAAGATGGTTTGGGATCTAGACCGTCCTTTGGAGGAGGATTGCACCCTGGAGCTACTTAAGTTTGAAGATGAAGAGGCTCAAGCAGTGAGTATCTTCTGCCAAAATTTGTTTGCCCTTGGATTTGCATTAAACACAGCCTTGAGTAGTTATTTGCATCTTCACCATGTTCAGAAGATGATGATGAGGGAACAGGTTTGCTGTGTACATCTGCATTTTCTATTGGTTCCTTACAAGGGAATTGCAGTAGTGCAGATAATACACGTTCTGCTATGTGTTTATAGTCATGTCTGCTAGCAGTTGCTGTAGTTTGTGTCAAGTCTGTTCTTGTTAAAACTTTATATTTGCAGCCTTCATGTTTATGTAGATCTTTTGAACTGATCTCTTCAGCACTGACTTTGAACACAATACTGAGTGCAAATGTATGTACAATCATAAAAGCACTGAGTAGGCTGCTCTTTGTGCATGCACAAGTGCATACTTTATTTTGGCTACTCATTCAGATACATGTGAATATCCAGTAAATTTGTAAATACGGTTTTCAGAAAAAATTGTTTGGTACAAGAAGCAGTCACACTCATAGGTCTTGCATTCAGACTTATGGTTTTCATATTGGCAAAATGATGGCTTCTGTGAGATTTTTTTTTTCTTTTGGACTGTGCAAATAAAAGGAGATGTGAAGTCCTATAGATGCAGTTTTAATTTGTCAAAACTTCAGGTGAACTACAAGATGGAGTATTATTTTTAACTGAAATGTACTTCAGTGCAGCATTTCCCATGCATAAAATCTTTAGATTAGGACCACAACCTTATGTTGAAAGTGCACCGTTTGGTCTTTATGCAGAGCTGACTGATTGAAGTTCACAGGGAAAAAAAAAAAAAGGTTTCTGAATGGGTTTCCTGATTTCTTGAGAATAATTGGATCATTTCAATGATAGTTGAAAATAAGAATTATGTGCTACCAAACTGTAACCAGTTTTCCAGTGGAAATACTACCTGTTGGATATATTGGTGCTTAGGATGAGAGTGTGGCTGGGCTGGTCACCTTTGCTCTGCATACAGTGCTCTAATGTGTACCCTGAAAAGCAGGGTACTTGTTGCAGATTTTGGGTTTCAGGGAAGGTTTTAAACTAAATACTCAGAAATGCACTGTGTGTGTTCAGACTGATCCCCTTTTTTTGCTTCCCATTAGGTATACTGGCACTCAAGTGCTCATATAATGGGTGAAGCTATGGAGCGAATCTATGGTGGCTGTTTGTGCTATGGCCCACCAATAGAAAATGGATTTTATTATGACATGTTCCTTGAGGAAGGGTAGGTTTTGTGTGTTAATCTTTATTAGGAGCGGGGTGGTGGCAATCACAGCAATATTTCTGTTACCTTCCTATTCCCGGAACAAAGTCATCTGCACTACTGAATGATGCTTTGTTCCTTGAAGTGCGTCCCATCCACAAGCTGGTTCACTGCAACTGATCAGAAATTGCAACTGAAAGCAAGAAGGATTCACTTTTGTGTGTGTGTTTACTTTAGGGGTGTGTCAAGTAATGACTTCTCTACTTTGGAAACCTTATGCAAAAAGATAATGAAGGAAAAACAAGCTTTTGAAAGACTGGAAGTTAAGAAGGAAACACTGCTTGAAATGTTTAAGGTAGGCTGTTTCAGAAGGTTGTTTCTAGCATCATGCAGTTATTCTTTAAGTAGTTGTAACTTTAGCTGCATTTCTGGTAGTGGTAGGAGGAGGTTAAATTTTTTAAGGTGGTATGGTCATATAAGCTGATATGTGGAATTTAACCAAAAAAAAAAAAGAGCAGGAATATGCAGTAGATTTTCGGCAACTATAAAGATTTTTATTCTTCTCCTGGGTGATCTTGGCAAAATCTCTGAAGCCACATTCTTTATTTCCCGCAGATGTAAATCTACAATATATTACGTGCAATTGTTATATGCCTGTATTAAATCGGCTGTTAGTAGAATGCTGTGGCGATACTACTGCATGTGCTGATGCATTCAGAAAGCTTCATAGAACATTTTCTAGAATGAGGACTTGTGAGAGGTCCACAGAACACTAAAAGCTGATCCTTTCTCTTCACTACCTAGCTGTGAATAATTACGTGTCATTCCTGAGATAGATGTTACTCAGTTTTCGCTGTTAGGAGATCAGGGGAATTGTAGAATCACAGAATGGTTTGGGTTGGAAAGGACCTTAAGATCATGTAGTTCCAACCCCTGCCATGGGCAGGGACACCTCACACTAAATCATGTTGCCCAAGGCTCCGTCCAACCTGGCCTTGAACACTGCCAGGGATGGAGCATTCACAACTTCTTTGGACAACCCATTCCAGTGCCTCACCACCCTCACTGTGAAGAATTTCTTCCTTATATCTAACCTAAACTTCTCCTATTTAAGTTTAAACCCATCAGCCCTTGTCCTATCACTCCAGTCCCTGGTGAAGAGTCCCTCTCCAGTATCCTTGTAGGTCCCGCCTCAGACACTGTAAGGCTGCTTTGAGGTCTCCACGCAGCTTCTCTTTTCCAGGCTGAACAGCCCCAATTTTCTCAGCCTGTCGTCAGCCCCTGATCATCCTTGTGGCCCTCCTCTGGACTTGCTCCAGCAGCTCTATGTCCTTCTTGTGTTGAGGACACCAGAACTGCACTCAGTGCTCCAGGTGGGATCTCGTGAGAGGAGAGTAGAGGGCATTTAGGTTGAAAAGTACCTTCATAGGTCTCCAGTCTAATCTCAAGCAGAGGGTGTAGGATCAACTCTGAAATCGAACTAGATTTCTAAGGGTTTGTCCAGTTGAGTCTTCAAAATGTGTATGGATGGAGACTCTACAACCTGCTCTCTGCACAGCTCCAGTACTTGACTGTCTTCTATCTTTTATGATCCTTTTTTGATGCAGCACAGCATCAGGTTTGCAAATAATTTAAACTGCTGGCCAACCTCTTGCTTAACAAGGAGATAACAAATATGTGTGCTGCTTTTCTTCTCAGTATAATAAATTCAAGTGTCGTATCCTGAATGAGAAGGTCAATACTCCAACTACAACAGTGTACAGGTAATTATACATGCATCATAATATTATTGGATGTATCTTTCTAGCATGAAATATACCAAATGAATGTTTTCCTACTCTTAGGTGTGGTCCCTTGATAGATTTATGCAGAGGGCCTCATGTTAGACATACTGGCAAGATAAAGACCATAAAAATCCATAAGGTAAGTGCTGAAAACTGCCTTAGACAAATGTTTTCACTGAAAATGCATTGCTGTCTTTGAGCCACAGGATGGTGTCTTATCCAAGAATGTACTGTGAAATAGGTAACCTGGCCAAAACCTCACTGTAACGAACTGGGAGGGCGTTTGATGCTAGAATGATACTCGGGTGGTGTGAAGCCCAGGTAGGTATCCAGGACCTGCACTCCAGTACGGATAGGAATGTGAGGCTTGGCTGAACTGTATCAATTAGAGTTTATAGTTTTTGCTCAGCTAATGGTTATAGCTGAGTGTGAATAAATAGTTGTAATAGGGTGGCTACAAAGAGAGCAAATAGGTTTAAAAAAACAATGGAGAGCTTGGAAGCCACCTTCTTGTTCTGGATTTTTCTGATCAGTGCTCTGAATGTAGGATTAAAACTCTCCTTATGCCTTAGTTGTTCTACATTAAGTATAGTGGTTTACTAATAATTGCATGCAGTAGTAGTAAAATGCGGAGACTTCTCCTTTTCTTCAAGGTTTTCATTTATTTTTTTGCACACAGAATTCTTCTACCTATTGGGAAGGCAAGGCTGATATGGAATCCCTCCAGCGGATCTATGGAATTTCATTCCCAGATGCAAAAATGCTGAAGGAGTGGGAGAAATTCCAGGAGGAGGCTAAAAGCAGAGATCACAGAAAAATTGGGCGGGTGAGAGTTTTTCTGCTAATGTGTTTCACAAACACTGTGTGGTTGTAGCCTCTTAACAAGAAGGATCTTGAAGACAGTGTATATTTGCTGCCACAATCGGGACGTGACACAACTGTATTTTTAGTTAAGTTGCAAAGTTGGGTAATTTTCTTTCAAAGATCATCAAAAATCTTAAAGCAAATAACTTTTCTTTAGACCTTTTGCTGCTTTAAACACATAAACATCTTTATTCCACATATGAGTCAGAACACAACATAGATACTTTGGTCTGAGCTCTTCAGGTTGCAGGCAGTGCTCATTCCTACACTGTTTGCTGCAGCCTATTCACTCACAGTTCTGTTCTTCTGTGTGATTTCAGAATTCATAATACATTTCTATGGGGTTTTGGTTGGTTTGGTTTTGGGTTTGTTTTTTAGATGGAAATGCCTGTCAGATAACTGATAGTCCTGAACACTGTTACAAGGTCTCCTGCTAGGACACCAGGCAAATACACAGGAAAATTCACTATGTGCAGGCCACAGGCATGTGCACAGTTTGTCACATTAGCAGGCTACAGGTCACACATTGAGGTCATGTCCAAATAGTTACAGAAAGCTGCAGAAGCAGAACTAAACATGACTTGCCAAAGTACAAAGGGAGCTCTGAGGGCACAGTAAGGAGTTATACATAAATGCAAAGTTTAGGAGCATCATTAATGAAATTGGAAACTGAACAATCTCCTTCTTCTGTCAGTACTGATGGGGATATAAACACTAGTGAAAATGCATCTCATCTGTTGGTATTGCTTTTAAAAAAACAAACAAACAAACTCAAACTTTCAGTAGTGACGCCAAGTCAGTAGTAATTCATTTGTGAATGTTAAGTGAAAAAGATGGTGTACAGGTACTAAGTTTTTCAAATCTATTTTTCTGCAGGACCAAGAACTGTTTTTCTTTCATGAGCTCAGCCCTGGTAGCTGTTTTTTCATGCCAAAAGGAGCTTACATTTATAACACATTAATTGAATTCATCCGGGTAAGGTCTTTCAGAAATCTTATAGAAGAAATTGCTTAGTTTTAGAAAAATACATAACAGCATGCTACATGTAACAGTATTGACAGCCCTGCGTTTCAAGTTAGTTGGATCTTTTACTTTGTAAACCATGGAACTAAAGAAACCTGATTTCTTTGAATTGGTGTTGTCACAATCTCTGCAAGGTTATGTTTTTATCAGTGCTTTACACCTGCAGCTAAAGCTCTGATAATGGTACTTTATAGTATGAATTCTTTAACATCTAATAGTAGCAGTAAGCTCACACTACAGCTGTCCCACTGATGCATATTGATCTGTTTTAATAAACTTACTAAATTTCACTCTGTAGAACTATTACGAAATTATGTGTAGGGGAAGAGAAATCCTGATCTTGCAGTATTTATAGTCTTGTCTTACTATTGTATATTTGCATTGCAATGTACTAACAAGTATCATTGAGTAATTACAGACTGCTTCTTTGCTTTCAGGGAAGAAACTTGTTCTTCTTGCCTGCTACAGAGGAATTGTTTGTGGGAAGGGTGGTGCTAGTGGAAGAGATGTATCCTGGCATGTCTAACTTGAATTTTACTCTGCCTTTTCTCTCCTCAAGTCAGGGACTTTTTTAGGGCAGCATTTGTATATTTTTATGGCTGCAGATTGAAGGCTGAGTAGCATTACTTTTGCAAGTTTGTCTTTTTAGTTATTTTATGTACTGGGTCTGTTGTTTCAGAGCGAGTATCGAAAACGTGGATTCCAGGAGGTTGTTACTCCAAATGTTTTCAATAGCAGACTATGGATGACTTCAGGGCACTGGCAGCATTACAGTGACAACATGTTTTCCTTTGAAGTTGAGAAAGAAATCTTTGCTCTGAAGCCTATGAACTGTCCAGGCCACTGGTAAGTACATGGCAAATCCACTTTACCAAAGATGATGCTGATTCAAACAAACAAATCCTGTTTCTTTTGCTTGCTTAATTGTAAAGATGGCTATCTTCAAGTATCTAGATGTGCATGCAGTCAGGAGTGGTGTAATTATGAGTCCTGTTGACTACGTGCTCTCTTTACTTGAGACACTGGAAAATACAATTTTTTCCATCATTACAGTGGCTATGTTTTTGAGCTGAAGCTTAACTGTCTTACTACAAAACCTGGATGTCCAAAATAGATACTGAGGCATTGTCAAATTTGTGGCAATTTAGGCATTCGGGTTTTAATGCTCAGCTTTAGGAGCTGTTTTATCTTCTCTCTGTTTGGTGAGGGAAGCATATCAGTTATAAAAGGATTATCTGCATTTGTTTCCCTGACAAAAGGAGATGTGAGTGATAATTATATTCAGATTACATCACTGGCATTATGGGCATCTGCTTAGGTACTGGCCTCTTCTCATTGGCTGTTCTTTGCAGAATTTTGATTCTGGATGAGCTTCAACTAATAAACTTTTCCTTCAGCCTTATGTTTGATCATCGCCCAAGATCATGGCGTGAGCTGCCATTACGGTTGGCTGATTTCGGTGTTCTGCATCGCAATGAACTGTCTGGAGCTCTCACAGGACTCACTCGAGTACGCCGGTTCCAGCAGGACGATGCTCACATATTCTGTGCTATGGAGCAGGTATGGGCTGCTATTAAATCAGGTATTAAAAACAGAATAAGTAATTTTTCCATATTTGAAACTTCTCTGTCTATTTTCATAAAGATTGAAGAAGAGATTAAGAGTTGTCTGGAGTTCTTGCGTGCTGTGTATGATGTCTTTGGATTTTCCTTTAAACTGAACCTCTCCACTCGTCCTGAAAAGTACTTGGGAGATATTGAAGTGTGGAATCAAGCTGAAAAGGTAACATAGTTTTATCAGCTTTTTATATGAAAGCAAGGCTGCAGCTTAAAGTCCTGTAAGAACATACTGGCTTCTAGGAACTATAGTGACAGCTGCGCATCAGCAGTATTACTTTAATAACAGTCTTCAATTCAGTCTGGCTGCTGTAAATAGCTTACCCTCCATACAGAAGCAATCTCCAGTGTCAAAATCAAATTACCACTCTCTCTTTTTTTCTCTTTCCTTGTATGTTTTTGTAATAAGAAAACAAAAAGAGGAGGAGGAGAGCCAATTCTGGCAGCTTCTGTAATTGAGCCATTTTCCAAAAGCACAGTTGCTTTCATGATGAAAGAGATGGGGTTAACCCCTGCAGGTGCAGTGCTAGGAAGAAGATATGGCAAGAATAGATACTGGGTGTATTGGGATTGATCCCCTCTCAATATTATCTACAAACTTTGAATCTAGCATAAAAAGTTCTTGTCTCCTAGCTAACACTGCTTTTTGGCCTCTCCCAAAATGAATGGATTAATTTGTTTGTTTATTTGTTAAATTTGGACTTTTTTTTTTTTTTTTTACGCTGACATGATGCTGTAACATGGAAGGACAGCAAATGATTGAGAAACACTCAGTGTATGTGTTCTTTATCTCTAGCAACTTGAAAACAGCCTCAATGACTTTGGTGAGAAGTGGGAGTTAAACCCTGGTGATGGAGCTTTCTATGGACCTAAGGTTGGTATGTTGCTAACCCTTAGCTGGGTTACATTTTTCATTCTGTTTGGATGGATCAGAGGGCTGGGATTTGTAAGAAGGGATGTTTTTTCTTGTAGTTACCTAGCACCATTTTAAGATGCTGCCTGACTCAAGTTTTGTGGTTTTCCAGGTATTTAAACTCTGATAAACTTGAGAGAGAAATAATACTCTCTGATCCTGGTTTTCACATAGCCTTAATACTCAATTAAACCCAATTTACATATATAAACCATTTGTATGCTGCTTAAACAGCTGATTTATTTAGTGGGATACATGAACAGAAGGTGGCACTGTAAGATCTGTATTAGTAGAGCAATTGCTGCATGAGAAGTAATCTGTTGAATACTAAGTGAATCACAAGACATAAAGAATACAAAAACTTTCTGGTTAAACAGTTATTTTGAAAAATGTTGCTTTTACTGGCATAGTTTTGTAGCTGTATTGAATTGCTGGTGAGTTTTGGTATTATAAAAAGCCCCTTGTATTGGTTTTGTGGTTTTGTTGGGATTTTTAAAGCTTGTCTCCTCAGTCAACTTGAGCTTCTAGAAATTTCCTGGTATCTTTGAGCACAGGGACAGAAAGCCTTGCAAAATTACTTGTAAATCTTTCCCTCGTAAACATACACTAACTCTA